AGCAGTCACTTTGTGCAGAGACTCAGGCCCAGGGGCCCTGGACCTGCAGCTGGTGTGCCTGTTTGGTCATCCATCCATGTGTGTTCATTCAAATGAAACAGAATAGACACCGTTCATATTTCAGTGTGCACCAAAGCTCCCTGTGGTTAATTCAAATCTCACCCTCAGTGCATTTCTCAGAGGAACAAAATGATATCAAGCCTGCACTGTCTTATCTGTGCTGCTCTGTTGGAGAGGAACAAGACAGACACAACAACTGAGGAAAGCTTTTTTCTGTGATAATGAACTATGGTAGCTGGTTCCTGAAATGGGACTCTTGCTCCCTCTACTGGTGAAAAGCTAGAAATTACTGTCTGTACCCGAAGTGAGTTGTAATGTCCCATTTAATTCTAAAGTGACTGGATATTAGAGATAGTGTTCAATCACTGTAGTTAGTGAATTCATTAATTTGAGTTAATTACTAATTAAATCTACAGAGTCTTTTGTCCATGCTTAGCAGGTCAGTAGTACAGGAAAAACGTCAAATATATCTACAAGCGAATATACAATTCATTTCCAAAAATACATCAATTTCAAATGCTATTCTTACTTAAATGCAATGTTTGCTTGACTTCTGTAGTGCTAGTGGCCTTTCTGAGCACATTTAAAACCATTTTCTAACATTTTTCCCATTTAGAAAATGGATGTGTCTTTATTCAGAGTGGTTTCAGGTGTAGAATTAGACAAACATCTAGTAGAGGTAGAGAGGAGTAATCAGTGGGTTAACTGGGGCTGCAAGAGGAGCCACTGCTGCATGCAGGAGTCATCAGTGGGTTAACTGGGGCTGCAAGAGAGTCACGTGTGAGGATGTGATTAAAATACTGCTGATATGACATCATGAACAAACAAAAGATATGAATGACAGTGGTTGTTTGGCCTGTGTGTGCAATGCAATGTTTAAGAATTGTGTGGTTAGATACCTAAATGATTTCAAACATACATAAAGTTTTAGTGACAACAAACGTAGTTTTATTTTGTACAGGAGTCGATGCCTTGTTTCAGTTTTCCTCGTTATTCCTCCTGTTCATGTTTGTTAATTGTTGTGTTTTGTATCATAATTATGCCACTTTTCTCTTTTCACAGACCATATTGGTTAAAAAAGACCAAAGCATATGACAGAGTATCCAGCAGCAAAGCAATCAAGCAGAACAGACAGTTTGGTGCTGATTTAACAGCAGGTAACAGAAAGTCTGAGAGCTTATATTTATATGTGGTGGGTCGAGCAAACAAGTGCAGGCTGGCTGAAGGACGTGAGTTCACTTTCCAGCATCTTGTTGTTGCACTGTGGAGAGTGCTCCGACCTGCACAGCTGGGTTCAGATTTCACCACACATGCTTCATTCCTCCCATTAAAGAAGGTTATTGACTCAGTTATGACAGGATTTAGCAGGCCTGTCTTAAGTGTAAGAAAACGATGACACAGCATGGATGTCTTTCGACATGTTACTGTGTTTCTGTGTGGTAAAAATGGTTTGATATTAAAATAACTGAGTTTACATAATTAGCAGGATGGATTTGTGATGACAAGGTCTTTGAATGTGACAGAAGACAATGTTGTGACAGCAGGCTGAAAGATTTCTGCAGAATTTTACCTTGAGTCTCTTTTTTCATCTGCAAAGACAGTGATGAACAATCTGGAGTCTGAAGTGCACTGTGGGAATAATTATACACATCTACTGTGTTGTATTTTAGTTCATGTGTTAGAGGAAGCATATATTAAATACATCCATCCATCTATTATTTATACCGCTTACGCTGAAGAGGGTTACAGGGAGACCTGAGCCAATCCCAGCTGACATTGGGCGAGAGGCGGGGTCCACCCTGGACAGGTCGCCAATCTATCACAGAGCTGACACGTAGACAACCACACTCACTCCTACAGGCAATTTAGAGTCACCAGTCAACCTAAGCTGCATGTCTTCGGACTGTTGGAGGAAGCCAGAGTACCTGGAGAGAACCCATGCAGGCTGATGGAGAACATGCAGACTCCACACAGAAAGGCTTTACTGTGACAGGAAGCTGCTTCACTGTGGGTTACTGGTTCTTAATGGTGTTACGCATGTTTCCTCCTAAGAGCATCTGAGATGGTGGAGAGAGCGTTTTGACTGTACAGCATAAAAAAAAAACAAATGATACACCAAGAGACACCAGCAGAAAGAAGGAGGTGGAAGCACTGAGAAAGTTTCTAACCTCCAGTGGTTCCTTCTCTGCTTACTTTTTGACTGACTGACTGGATTTTACAGAATCAAAATCAGAATCAGAATCAGAATGTGCTTTATTGTCCAGGTGTGTCAGACACACGAGGAATTTGACTCTGGTACATCGGCTCTCGATGTGCATGTACATATCCCCATGCAAGGGGCAAGTGAACAGTAAACCAGCATAAGGCTGTGTAAGATAACAAAATAAACTGTATTAACAACAACAAACAGTGCAAACAATGCAGAATAAGCAGTGTAGACAGGCAGTAAACAATGTAGACAGACAAAGGAATGTTCATTGAGATGAGATAAATAGGAATAAAAACAGAGAACTTAAAACTAGAGACCTGGATGAATCTGTTTAATATATATATATAGATTGTATATATTATATATAGGGACTGTATAGACTACAGAGGGAAACTTAAAGATATGCAAACAGACAACAATCTTACCACAACATCAGTTTAATAGCTGTTCTGTAGCTTTCAGTCATTCCAAATGATCCTCGGTGTGAACAAGTAGGGTTAGAGTTAGATCATGTTCACAGTTGTCACTGATTTATGTAAGTTGAACTCACCTGTTATGTTCATTTCTCAGGAACAGCCCTGATGCTCCTGGGTTAATTTTACCATTACTAACCATTTCAATCACTATTTAGTGCAGTGTTCTTTACCTTTCACAGATCATAGTTCAATGAGGATAATGCACTTGTTTTTCATAAAAAGTGCACGTTAAAACTTTTTTTAATGGACATTGGAAAGACCTACATATAAAATACATTATTTTTACATGACATAGATTTGTTTAAAGTTTCTTTTACATTTTGAAATCTTTCTTTTTATGAAATGATGTTGATAAATTAACATGAGACACCTTTTCTGGTCAGGGTCAAATTGAGCCAAACGGTATCTTTGTAATATTAACATGCATGGGGATGTTGCAAGTATGTGAAATGAACCATTTTCATTTTATATGTTGATTATACCTATTAAACCAAGCAGAAGAAGTTTCATACCAATAAAATAACTATTGTTTTTAGATTTATTACCTTTACAATGGGTCAATTTGACCTGCAACATAACAGGAAGGTTAAGTTTCCTTTTTACCTGAGCAGTTTCAGAAGTTTCCTTTTTACCTGAGCAGTTTCAGGACTTTCACTTTGGCCTATAAGATGAATCTGCTGATGAAGATTATTTGATATGATTCAAAATTCAGCTACTAAACTGACCCACCGCACCCAGCTGCTGTTTCTAAGCACACAAATGAATTCAGAGCCTGAACAAATGTACAGTTAACTTTAAAATGATGCATGCTGGTTATTAATAGTATCACAAGCTTATTATAATATCAAGTCATAATCAATAAATGTTTGTTGGTTTGTTGCTAAAACTGGTCAATATATTGTTTTACACCCACTATAAAATGCACATTCTGTGATACTATAAAAACTGAATAATTTAGTTTGTCATTACCACCAACATCCACTAGAGGTCTCTCCAGCAAATACAATGGGGGGTCTGTGAGCAACCGCCACATAATAGAAATATAACTGATAGAAAACGGTCTGCACTCAGTGTGTGATGTTTATTTTAGTTTAGGAGTGAAGCAGCAGCAGGTCAGTTGATATCCTCAGCTGAGGAAAGACAAAGGTTTGGCAAATGGAATTATGTTTTAAGTGACTCAGCTTGTAGTTTCAATAATTAGCAACAAAGATTTAGTGGCTATAAGATCAGCGGGTGTCTCTGGTATGTCTGGTGTATTTTAGCACATTTTGTGTTTTTCCATAACTGAACTCAAGGCATTCAGAATAACAGGCCTAATATTTACATTCAAATATAATTATATAGAAAGAAAGTCACTTTCGGCTTTTCCCGTTTAGGGGTCGCCACAGCGAATCGTCACCTGACGAGTTACATGTTGACATTTGGCGCGTGCTTTACGCCGGATGCCCTTCCTGATTCGAACCTGCACCTTAACCAGTAAATATCAAACATCTCTTTTCTTAAATAACCTTTAAGAAATGAGATTATATTATAATTATATGTCTCTTTTATTAATGAAACTGTTAGGTGGAAATAAAGGTTATTTAAGAAAAGAGATGTTTGGTATTTACTGGTCTGTAATGGTATGTTAGAATGTGGAGAACTGGCTAACGGGGTGAAAAGGTCATTTCTCATTTCACTGTGTGCTCACTGGTTGATCATGGGACAGTTTGAGGTTGCCAGTGGCTTCAGCAGGTTTCTCTGATTCCCCAAACTGTAAACTCCTGTCAGCTACTGGAGTCTGATGGCAGTTGGAAAGTCTAGAAGTCATATAATAGTATAATATCTATAATTTATTCAACACAATAATAGGATGCAGCAGCTGGTGATCTCAGTTCAACTGCAGTGGTTTGATTACTCTGTATGTTTTAAGGCTTCTTATAAAACATAACGCCACATGGTATCAGTGTGATGATGACTGTGCCTGAACACTAAATACTTTTTATTCACTCATTATGTTTTTGTAGCTCTATATTTTATAACCTGTTGTCTCTGAGAACAAACAAGACTTTACACTAATAACATGTTTGGAGTAAATCAATGAGATTGTGAATCAAACATTCTGATTGATTTCTTTTGACTTAAAAGTAAAAATGTTGCTTTTGTATCTAAAATTCGATTAGTAGTTAACTGTCTTACAGTTTCACCTTTTTAAAACTTTGTGTCTTAGGCTAATACTGTACTACATGTGTAGCTTTGCCTTGAATGTATTTGTTGTCTTTTTCTGGCACAGCCGAGCGTCCACACGCAGAGTCTTGCAGACTTTAGTGCACATCCGTAGTCCAGTCTGGTCCACATGTGTCCACCCAGCCCTGCAGAGGATGAGGATGTCTCACTCCGTCAATGTTTTCCTCTTCACATCCTTTCTGGGAGCGAGCAGGGAGGCGGGCAGAGTAGACTCATGAGGGACAGACTGGGAGAAGACGACGGGTCTTTGGAACGTACCACACATCTGTATCCGAAGGAACAGTAGATTCACCTCCAGTGTGATGTTTGGAGGATAGTGGGAGAGGACACACGTGATTAAATCCGGCGAAGTACTGCGGTTTGTCGGTAAGGTGGTCGAGGAGGAACACGGAGATGAGAGCGTTTCTGTCAGGTAAGATGCTGGTTGTGTTCCTGACGTTAGGGGCTTTGGCACAAACAAACTCGCAAAGTGTTTGTGTCTTTGTTTGTAAAGGCGTCGACCACTGCGACTGGTAATGAGGTCAGTCAGACAAAAGCCACGGTAGCGAGCCTGTTATGTAAATATCACAGTGTGCCCGTACGAGCCGACGCACAGCGGACAGGCTGCAGACATCACCTGTAGATTCCGTCAGGATCCAACAGGAGTCCACGGCACAGGAGCAGGATCCAACAGGAGTCCACAGCACAGGAGCAGGATCCAACAGGAGTCCACAGCACAGGAGCAGGATCCAACAGGAGTCCACAGCACAGGAGCAGGATCCAACAGGAGTCCACAGCACAGGAGCTCTTATATCTGGGCGTGTTGGTGACTGAGGGTTAAAAGGCATTTGGAAGTAAATGAAAAGATGAGAGATAAAATAAAACAGTCGCTACTTTGTGTTCAATTTGTTTAGTTGTTGTTTTCTAACAGACCCAACCAGTCCCACTGTGATTAAAACCAATATAAAGTGGTAGCCCAATAGTTAAATGTGGAAATGCAGTTATTGGCCTTCCAAAAATGATGTTGTGTAGTTTCAGGAAGGGAGAGTTTAGTGCTGTATTTCTTGATTTATTTGTGAACTATAGGCTAGTTTACTGTGTGCAGTGTCTCTGATGGTTATTCTGTTCTTGTATTTCTTTTTGTCAAGACATGGCTCCAGTATTCAGGTCCTTATTAAAACAACACATTGTTTGTTTCTGTTTATTTATGGAAGGAACAAATCCAATACAGTGTGTTTACAGCAGGTCGGGTCATTATTATTATTATTATTATTATTATAGCACCCTTCTTCATGCTAAGCTAACTGCTTTCTGGTGTTTCACCATATTCTGTGACCACAGGGGGCGCTGGTGCACAAATGTTACTTTGCCATTAACATTTGTCTTGTCTGTAAAGGGTTAAGTATGACCAAGTACCTGACAGACTTGGAGTGTGCATATTTTTGTTCACTTTCCAGGCACACCCTCACACACCTCAGCATTTCCTGCAGAATTAGATTCTACTTGTGGCAGCAGCTCAAGGGGCCTGGTGTAATACCTGGCCTGGTGTAATACCTGGCCTGGTGTAATACATACCTGGCCTGGTGTGGTGTAATACCTGGCCTGGTGTAGTAATACTACAGTACAGTGACATGCGGTGAGGTTGACAGCTGGTGAGGCACTGACTCCTTTACAGTCAGATTTACAAATACAAATGAACTGTTAACAAATTGTTAACAGACAATGCGTTATGTTTTATATCTCATATCAACATTCTTCACACAAACGTGACCCATATTTAATTTGAGGTTAAAATTTATTCCAATTGAGCTTATTTCTAACTAGAAATAATAAAAGTTTATGGTCTTACCTGTACTTGTACACAATATCCATTTGTCAGCTGGTATGTATTACAAACCCTTTTACCGTTTGAATCCAATATTAAAACAGATGTTTTCAATAAAGAAGATCCTTCTGGACAAAAATGTCCAGACTGTCTAAAATGTTTTGATTGAAAGTCCAGATTTGCAAATTTCCTCATCTTGTAAATGTAATCTCCCATTTTGATAAGACGGATTGTAAAGGAAATATAAACAAGAAATATAAACAAGCACGAAGAAGATCGTAGGTAGCGCAAGAATCTGTGGGCTCACTAGCGCCCTCTGCCTTGAGGCAGGCGTACTGTTTGCCTCACCGAGTAACTTTTTTACTGTGTTTTATGGTTAATCTGGAGCCTAAACACGTTACAGAACTACATTTTATACATTATCCAGATTATGGCAAGGCAGAGCATATAATCAGAGTGTTTGAAAGCATTTTATTTGTGATATATAGAGGGACAGTGACACACTATTTGCATCGCATACAGTTTGTGAGGATTACACGATCCACCGAGAGGCACAGCAAAGTGCTGCCTCATCATGCATCTCCTCCATGTATTTGAACGGGACATACGGAAATTCTACTATTCTTTATTGAAAAAAATCCTTCGACATGGGATTCGAACGGCAAAAGGGCCTACAACACACACCAGCCGACAAATATTAACATTTATTATATTTTATGGTTAACTTTTTTTTCTTTTCAAGATTGACAGGGGAGCCTCTGCCTCACCTGCCTCCCCTGACCCCACGTCACTGCTACAGTAGGCTACCTCTGTGCTGTTCATATGTCCCTCCAGCAGTAGCTGGCTCCCCCACAGCAGCAGCATGTTGGCTGCTGCCCTCCTCCTCTCCTAACGTACACCTCTCTCTGCAGCCATCCCTTCCTGGCCCTCTCTTGCTGCCTCAGCAGTGCCAGTAAATATTTGAAATGAATTTGTTGGATTGCCTAATCACACTGACTGGACTGATCAGTTTTCTCATGAGTGTTTTTCAATATTCCCCTGGGCTGAGGGAGTAAACATTCAGCATCAGAGTTTATGAACTAGCATTAACTTTATGAGCTGTAGCCACCAACCAGAAGTTTGGAGGTTCAATGTGTGGTTCCTGCAGTCTGCATGTCAAAGTGTCTTTGGGCCTGACACTGAACCCTAATTTGCCCCTGATGACCAGAGCAGTGCCCTGCAGGGACAGCCATCTGTGTGAGATGGCGCCACAGATGTCTGCCGTGGTTCTGTACCGGAGACAAATTTCTTGTGTGTATAACATATAAAGTTATTATGATATTCACTCACAGTGAATATATATATATATATATATATGGGAATGCTATGGCTCATCCCTCAGGCCACAGAGGGACTGAGCCAACACATGCACTGTGCACGGCACTACACTCACTCACTACAAATAAGATTTAACCTATGAGTTTTAAATCAAAATGTGGTGGATATTGTGGCAGGCTGTCACAAGCATTTATTTGAGTAATTAATTGATTGGTTTATCTATAAAATGTTTGAAAATTGTGTAAAATGTTTTTGTATGGCCCAGGGTGAGAGAGAAAAGAACCTGAAGATATTTCTGTAACACTTTATGGTGATCACAGGATGTGGTGTAACACCGGCTCTACAGAGCGGTGTCAATCCTCTTGTCTACTGTAAGTTGCATGAAAAAAAGAATGACTGTTTTCCCAAAATGTCAACATTCCCTCTTGCCTTGATGCTAAGCTAAGGTTACAGTACCTGTACCTGCTAATGGTTAGAACTTCAGCCAAGAGTTGTTGTTTCAATCATGTCATCTAATTTTCATCAAAGGGTTTTTGGGGGCATTATGTGTTGTTACTCTTTGTTGATGTAAAATCACTTTATCCATCCTCCCAGTACATCTAGGCCGTGTCTCTGGTTCCTTAGCAACTTCATCTTTATGTTTCCATGCAGTTTACATTAAGGTTCCAGGCACTAGTCAGTGAATTCCTTAAGTGTCATGGGAAGTTTCTATAATCAGGATAGGGGATTAGAAGAACCTCTGTCTTCATCTAACATGCTTCCAGAGAATTTGGCCAAGTAAATGTGTTTCCAGGTTTCGTATAGTTTAACTGTGCTGGTGTGCCTGGTAAAAAGTCAGATAAGGAAAGTGGTGGTAGAATGAAAGTAGCAATCATTACAGGATGCTATACACAATGCATGCAACGAAGTGTTCAAAATAAATAATTACACATGAAGATCTATGTTTTCAAATCCAGACATTTTTGCTGTAAGGAACAGGAAGCACATCACGAGCCACAGTTAAAATGAATACTGTATGTACCAGGGTCTGGAGCAGGGCAGAAATGTGATTACTGTTCTGCTGTACAGTGTGTAGACAATACATGATGTCAGATTTCCTGCTTAACCTGATTTTCTGATGACCTGCTTTCTTTTGGTGCATGTAAAACATGCACACTGTGACAGTAAGACTTCAGGAAGTCACTAGGCCTGGCTCTTGTTTGGAGTATATAAATTAAGTTGACTTGGTTTGACTTTTGCATAGACAGCACTGACACTGCTGTGGGCTTTGTTTGCTGCACCGGCGTCTTTACAGGCTACATGCCAGGTTTAGAGGGCTTTGTAAATACCGCAAGTAATGATGAGAATGTAGACAACTTCACCGCTTGGTGCCACTTCTCCTCATTACTGTCATCAGTGACCTGCTGAAACAAAACATCTCTTCATTTTCAGTATTTGGCATTTGACAGTAGACGTGCATAACATGTGTTATCCAGCTGTAAGGGGGTATATTTTGGTCTGAGAGTGGTGAAGCTATATAGGCAGAATGCTACACATCTGAAAAAACACTAGCATGTAAGAAAACCAGCTGCCTGTTTTTACCTCTTTTAGTTTCCAGTTAGCTCTCTGAATCATACTTTCACTGAGCTGTCATATTGTAGTTCACAGCAGTGAGTCCAGTGTTAAATGGCATTTAGAATGTGACAGACTTATCTTAGTGATGTTTGATTAGTCACTGGCTTGAAATGTGGAGCAGTGTGCACTCTCATCACCATGATAACTTTGTCACAGAAGCCACTGACATTCCTTGTCTGGATTCCTTTCTACCAGAGGTAGAACCCTATAGGATGGCTTTCCCCTTTTTATTATCTTTTAATAACTAAATAAACCTTCAGTATAAGTGTCAGCAGCTTTGCTGTGTGCAGGTTTCTGTCATATTTCCTGTTACCATATAACTATAACAGATGTTTGCACAGTTTATTGATAACATGTTGTAACACAGTGAAAAACGCTCATCACAACTTCCCAAATCCAACACGATGTTTTGGACATTTGTGTGTTTTTTCTGACCAACACCCCAAAACTTTAAAATGATTAATTTGTAATGATTAAAACAGAAAAAAGCAGCCTGGCTTCACATTTGAGAAGGTGGAACCACAGAAATATTTTTTAACCATTTTGCATGATTAAATTATTAATGAGTTCTCTAAAGTGTTTCCATTAAATTATTTATTTGTCAGTGACTTAGCTAACTCTTCAAGCCTCAGACTTAACATGTGTTCGATGTGTTAGATGTTTAAACATAAGTTTGAATGGTATAAAATTAAAACTTAAGGGTCCCTAGAAGATTGAAAAGTAGTTTTATTTAGCAAAACTATTATAAAGTGGCTTTTCATGGATAAATCATGTAAAACTAAAGCTTGAGGTGTAGTATTGCCCTGCAACTGAACCTTGACCCCAGATAGCCCCTCCCATCTGTCAACTGTGGAATTGCTCACAGCCACCAGTCCTCCCTCTCTCCTCTCCTGCTCTCCTGTGCATGTCTTTACATGCTGAGAAACACCAGGGGAGGGAGGGAGGAGCCAAAGAAAAAACAAGAAAAACTGGAGCACTTCAGAGGGGTGAGGTAGACGGAGGTATGAGGTATGAATGGAGGCTCAGAAAGAGATGAGGGCATGAGAAAAGAGAAGGGAATTTCATTCTAAAGCTGCAGACAGGACCTGAGAGAAGGGAAGATTGTAGCTGTAATTGGAAGGGAGGGGTGAGATACAGTGTCATGTCTGTGAACAACATGCTGTCTATTCCTCTCTTGATTCATTGCTTCTCCTTTGTTGATTTTTAACAGAGGCATGATGATCAGCGTTAATGATGGATCCCCCTCTTTGCTTTGGCATTTCAAACCCAGCAACAAAAAGATCGAGAGGAATTAAGAAAATGAAGAGGTGAATGAACCACTAGCTGCTAACCTTTCTTTGACTCTTCTTCTCAGTGTCATACCTCAAGATCTGCAAAGACGGACAGCTACTGAACACTTTCAGGAACTGACAGGGTGAGGAAATACCCAGGCATCGCCCAGAGCTGCCACCAGCTGCAGCTCCAGCTGAAAATCTGAGTAAAACTAGTGTAGGAGCATGGGATGCGGAGTTCAGAGCTCCTCTGGATGTCAGCCTACCAGGAACAAATGAGTAGAAGTGGATTTGGCTGCGGCTCCAGTTTGCTCCAGGGCCGGCGCTTTTACTGCCGGGAATGGGCCCTGGACAAGCTACGATGCTGCCTGGATGCCCGCTCCGTGCCGGGACAGCCACCAGGGCTGCTGGTAATAGGGGGCCCCGGTGCTGGGAAAACCGCCCTGTGCACTGAGGTGGTGTGGCCCACTTCAAAGGCAGGGCTGGCAGTCGGCCTGGCACCACGCTGCCTGGCCTCCCACTTCTGCCAGAGGGAGGACCAGAGGAGTACGGTGCTGTGGAGGTTCGTCCTGGGCCTGGTGGAGCAGCTGAGGGCCTCACCTCTCCTCTCTCCTGGGTATGAAGAGATCCTCAACAACCCATGTGTATCCTCTGCTCTGGAGCCTCCCAACTGTCAAAAAGACCCTGATGACACCTTCAAGAGGTTTGTAGCACATTTTTCCCAAAAAAGTATCTCAAAGAGAGGATGTCATGTCACCTTTAGATGTGTGAGTCACACGCTTGATCTGAACAAGATAACCTTTTAGTGGGTTAGACTTAAGGGAAATTTCAAGATTGTCAGAATGAAAGAGAGGAAAGCTGCCAAAAGGCAGTGTGCGTGGGAGCCATCCCAGTGATCAGCATGTGTGTGCATGTTCAAGAGCGTGGCTCATTTCCAACTCAACACAGCAAAATTTACGTGTGGTATCACGTAGTGTAAATGGTGATACTGTTGATGGAAGCAGGAGCAGCTGAACAAAACTGCCTAAGTTGGCAGGCAAACAAGTGGATTATCAGATTCAAGTGAGTGGAATCAGCCTGGTGAAGAGCTGGGCCACAGGTTCTTTCTTTTGGTAAACGCTCAGTCTCAGCATGTGGCTGTTGTCACCAAAAACATCTGGGGGTTACAGTGATCAACAATGTTGTAACCTTGTATTTAGAAGGGTGCGATTTGGTCTGTTGTTTGTACTTTGTTAGCCTGATGATCACAGCATTAATGAAATTTGATTAATAGCATGTTGTCCAATTGATTACGTCTGTAACTATGGCCACAACTAACAGTTATTGTCATTTTAGCTTCAGTTAGCTTTGTGAAATGCCAGAAGTTAGTGAAAATGCCCTTCACAATTGCAAATGGATTGTTTTGAGAAATATGAAACAGGTTCACATTTGAGAAGCTGGAATCCTTGGCATTTTTGCTTGATAAGTGACTTCAGTCCATAATCAATTATCAGTATTGTTGCTGATCAGTTTGAATATTTTTTGCGTCAGTGGGGTGAAGCACATTCTTGTTTGGTTATTGTATCCATAAACAGTTTCTTAAGTGATTTCTAGAAGATGTACTATTACTACCTAGATTGTACTGTATAATACATATATACTGATAATACAGTATAAATTACATACCTCAATAGAGAATTTCATCCATATCATCTATTCCTAGACATTATATTCCAGTCAATCATCTAAAACTCATGTGTAAAACTGGAAGTTACTTCTTAATTAGTTTGTTTGGCATCACTAATGTGAACCACATGATAGAAACATAATACAATCCTACCAAAAGATGATAGTGATACTGAATTATCAGCCTTAAGTGAAATGTCAGCAACACTCCAATAAAACATCCATATACTTATAAAAACTTTCCCCGCTCTGAATAGAAACCAGCAGCATGTGTTAATCATGTGATATCCATGAAAGCTTTAAGGCTGCACCTATGTTTTTCTACACACAGGTGTTTAGACGGTCTGCAGCTTGTAAATGTAAAATCATGTGGCCATCAGTGAATCAAAGAAGGTGGGACAGTCGTGGTATAAAGACAGTAGCAGCCATTCTTCCTCGTCTTATATTTATTTCTCCCATAATGCAGCCCATTCACGTCACACACAATGGGCCTCCAGTGTGACTGAATGCCTCAGTGTTAATTACAACACAACATCCTTTCAGAGCCGGGGGGGGGAGAACAAAGAGGTGAAAAATGCCTGCGGGAGCCTGGTGACCATCTCAGCACCAGTCAGCGAGGTTACTCTCTTCTCCAGGACTTTCTTTTACGCTCTCCTGGTGTGTTGACTTTGCAATGAGTCTGACCCTCTTTGCGTTCCTCCTGTGTTTGCTCTCCTCCGGTGAGAAGTGCTGAGCTGGATTCCACATTCCCCTCAGACTGGCTCATAGCCAGCAGCTGTTTGTGTTAGGAGTTATTGAAGGTGCCTGCAGGTGAAGGAAGTGCTTTCATGTGAGAACAGCTGTCAACAAACTGATAAAACACGGGCTTGAATTAGTAGCAAGATGGAACACATGGCATCTACCGGTACACTTTGAACCAACGGGTAGCTCATGATAGCGAGTCACTAACTCTTCACTGAGCTTTTGAGTAGTTTCAGTTCCTCTGACTGGAAACGTCTGCAGTTAGACAAATTAGAAGTTAAAAACAAACCGTTTCTTTCTGTGAATTGAAATCAGCGCAGTGAATGTGGACGCATTCTTGTTTTCACACCTGCCCTTCAGTTCACTTGGTCTGAAGTTCAGTTGGTCTGATGATTTATTTTTGCCTGTTAGTTCTTGTCCATTTCATGTGTCAATTAACTTATTACAAAGGGTCAAGAGGAGCAAATATATCATATGAGTCATGTGGAGCAACGTGTCTAACGCAGGTTAGCAGGCAAACTTTACTCATCACTCTGCCTTGTGTCATAAAGAGCTCACCAGAAAATAACTGATTCTGCACCATAACTAGTGAAGACAGCTACTGGCCTTTCTATGACACAAGTAGTTACAAACAAACAAAATTGTAATGTTAATGAGAGAATAATTGCTGTGCAGTCTTAAGGTTTTGCTTCCTTCTTGATGAGGAACTGCCAGAATAAAGATACTGTAACACAATGAGTTTCTTGTTAGGTTAAACTGGGTTTTAGTTTCTGCCAAATCAGGGAACATCCTCACACTAACACGCTGATATGTGTGTGAATGTAACAAATTAAAGGAAACAGCAACAAAACGTGTCTCAGTGAGGTGCTGGGCCACCAGAACAGCCCCAGTGCACCTTGGCATTGACTCCCCACGTCGCTGAACTCTGCTGGAGGGATGAACACCATCCTTCCAACAGATCTGATGTGTTTATGATGGTGGTGGTGTAGACACTGTCTAACACGTCTGTCCAGCATCTCCCATAGATGTTCACCTGGGCTGAGACCTGGTGACTGTGAAGGCCACAGCATCTGATTTACATCATTTTCATACATGTGTCGCAGAAGAAAGAGTTTTAGTTTTAAAAACAGGTGAGAAAACAATTTATCAATTGTAACACCACATTAGTGGTGTATTGTCTTACTTGTCCCTGTAAATGTTTCTATTTTGGTCGTACCGAGAGATGTCTGTGAACATCAATATGCCTTAGAACACATTGGCCTTTTTCTAATAGCCTTGCATTGTCTTCACTGAGGGGGTTATTATTTTCATATGTTATATGTTCATATGTCTTATGTTAACATGGTGTCTATCCTGTAGTGTTTGTAATCTTATTACTTTCGGGGTACTACCCATAAAAAATACCAATTCCACCCTGATGTAGACCTGGTGAGGTCAAAACTGGTTGGTGTTTTTTACTGAGATGTCTCATTAAATAAAGGTTTTTTAACATACTCCCTGCTCCGCCTAAGAGTGCCTGAAGTTTTTTTTTTTAGTTTTTAGTTTTGTATAGTTCAACTTTAAGAGCACTAAAACTTTCTGGATTTGTTGTGAGTTTTGGATTTAGGTCTTTTTTTCTCTTTCAGTTGCTGGAGAAAATAGTTGGAAGTTTGCTTTTTGACTTTGTCATTAGTTTGTTCCAGAGAACAGAACCAAAGTAAGCAAAACCCCCGATTTAAATATTGATTTAAATACATTATTTATTATATTGCTGCATTTACTGCTTAAAGTGCCTTAGATTTTTGTGTTACTTATTTACCTACTTTATATTTCATTTGTATTTTGTGGCATTCACGTGGACGGTGAAGTAAGAATTTCATTTTACATGGAAACACGTTTCCTAACTGTGCTAATACCTACTGTACAAATAAACACTTTGAACTTGAACTTAAAAGCACCCACACTAGATCTGGATTTTATTCTCCATTAAGTCCAGGTAGAGAACCACCACCTGATGGTCTGACTGGATTATAGTCAGTCAGCAGGTCGGAAAGCGAGGGAAGTGATTTGAGTTTATATTTGGCAGAGAGGCGACATCCAGATTATTAGAGGTTTGATAGCGACATGCTCCCCTCTACAAGTTCACTTAGCGCTGAGGGTCAAAGCTCACCCACAGTATCCAGGCCTACGTACGTGGGCTGAATGAAGCATGAAGCAGAAAACATTAAGCCGGCCAAAAAGGTGTATTACACTTCCTCCTCCACTCTTGCGTTAATCAGATGACTCATGCACACAAAGGAATGATAAGCTTGTTGTAACCCAGATGCGGCCGTCAGCGTTTCACTCTGCTTTTAATTGCAGGATATGCTCAATGATAAAAGTCAAGGCTACAGTGTAATGAGATGATTCACACATTATGGCTTGGTCTGTAAATACACACGGGGTGCTCGGCCACCATGTTCCACCAGACCAGTTCCAGTGCACCGTGGCATTGGTGCTCCAAGTCTCTGGACTCTACTGGAGAGATGAACACCATTCTTCTAAAAGACATTCCCTCATGTGTGTTGTGATGATGGTGGTGGAGACGCTGGCTATAAAATCTTCCATAGGTGCTAAACTGGGCTGAGATCTAGTGACCCTCTCGTGTGTAGCTGGGAAGAACAAAAATAGAGAGACACCTCTGGATATAATGTAGTGTGGTACAACAGCACCTTTAGCTATGACCTCAGTAATAAACAGAATTGAATTTATACATTGATGACTATTTTACCAAAAAGGAAGCATTTTGAGCTTCATAAACACAGATGTTAAGGTGGATATGCTGCACTGAATTGCATCCAATTGGTCCGGTGTACCCATTGCTATTTTTAATTAAGTAAACAGTCGGAGTACTTCTTCCATCACTACTTCTGGGTTTGATATTTACTTCTTATGTAGTTCTGTGTATCTGATACAAATATTGGCTGATTCCAGCTCAGCTGCATTTCTCTGTTTTACATCATTGTAAATCTAATATTTTTGTGTTTTGGATTGTTGATCACACAAGATTTGAAGATGTCACCTTGGAATCTGGAAATCTGGGCTTTTTGGTAGTACTATTTAACATTTTATGTATTGAATGAGGTGGGCCACTTAAAATACTACCTTAGCTGCTATAGATATATATATATAACCTTCAGGGGAATTGATATTTCACACAGCAAATGCCATGTATTTAATGAGTATCAGTGCTGTTTAGGTTGTTATCTGCTAACTCATTTTTCATGAGGTGAGATGTGTTAGGATGTGGGTGGCATACCACCTCAGCTGAATAATAACTCTGAACTAATTTTATCATCAATAAACAGTGCCTCTTAACAAGTGACCCTTGGCAAAATGTCCACCATTTCAGGACAAATGTGTTAATTTATGGACAGTTTAATGAAGGAGCTAGTACTTCATTTATATGTTTCAGAGCACAGTGCATGTGTTAATGCACAATTTCATCACAGTAGCTCAAATAAGGCAGATTTCCCGGCTGGCATTTGCCAAAATCTAAACACTACAGATAAGTAATGTCTGCATTGTTGAAATGTCACCCCTCACTCCCTACGCATATGTTAATCCTGAGACTGATATTTTATTGCCGACCTCAGCAGTTTCAGTGAATGACCCTGCTGCTTTCAGTTAGCAATTTGGCTTCACGGGCTTCTGTCTAGTTATTTCATCAAACTTTTATATTAGTCAGAGTGCTGCAGGTTTTAACAGCTTTGTTTGCAGTGTGGATGACCCCTTGCCAGTGTTTTATAAACACTTCTGGAGCTGTTTCCTTCCTGGTAGCAGCATAATTCTTCTTTTACAACATTAGAAATGTTTCCCAGGTTGCTATTATTAGGCACCAGAAGCAAAATACCCCCTGATTGGTCACAATTTAGGATCTTTAAAGATGCAGATTTCAGAAAAAATTGTTCGTGATTGATGAGAAAATGTGACTGGACCTTCTGGTCATTCTTAAACATAGACATTAACACTAATAACAGCACACATACAAACGCACACCCTGTGTTTGAGTGCAGCCTCTGTGTGACCTGGTTGTGCCAGAGTTCTGTTACTGTTTGTTACCTTCACAGCAAGCCCTCCAAATGCATGTGTTGCTCTGTACAGACCTGCAAAGATGAGCATAGAATTAAACAATGACTATCCATCCATCCATACTACTTATTCCTAAAAAGGGGGGGGGCGTGGAGCCAATCCTAGCTGACATTGGGCAAGAGGCGGGGTCCACCCTGGACAGGTCTAAACAAGAACTAGTCTATACAAGAACTATTTACTAACCTTAACTTTGACTTTCTATTTATTAAATGTTATTTCTTCCTCACAATGGAGGTAACATCTACCACTGTATTTATTTTTTTTTTGGTTAATTGACAGCATTTTATATCATGTATTTATAAAATGCAGCATATCAGACATTGTCTGGGACAGATCAATGAACCTGGATCTGTTGTACTCCAGACTTTCTAACAGTGTGTTGTATCACCATGTGGCTCTGTGATTTGATGCATAAAAATCATTAATAGAAAGGTGGAGTGTACACTTCCATGGAAGTGTGTCGGATACAGCATGGCATGGGTGAACGGGTCCTCACCTCAAACGTCCGAGTCCAAATGCAGTCACTGCTGAAGTCTGAGTCCTCAGTGTCCAAAATCAGGACTCGAGTCAGATTTGAGTCTGAATCCTGAGACATTTTTCAATACTAAGTACACCAAGTTCGGACTCCCTTACTTTGGAGTTTGGACTTGGTAAGTTTGAACTTTAAGTACAAACTCCCGAGAACGGGAGGACGCAGTAGTGTGAATATGCAAATGTAACACCAGTGACCTTGCTGACAGACTACTGCGCTGAACGAGATGTAGCTACCTGCTAATTATAGCTAGCTGGTGTGCTAGCAGGAACTGGCATCTCAAGTACAAGTTGAGTCACAGGTCCTGAAAATCAGGACCCGAGTCAGAATCCTGGACTCGAGTACTACAACACTGCTACCAGCCTCTACCATGATGGCCATGCAATCCATCTAAAGAGTACTGAAAATTAAGAAGTAATTAAAAACAAGGAAATTTAAACCATAAGTAAATGTTACGCAATTACCACAAGAAAACGGAATATTTTTTTGTCTTTGGCATAATTTTACAGTAGCCATCTGAAAGCATCACGTTTATTCACAAGATTCTTTCTTCCTTCATACAACTTTCACATTTCATTCTCCTTAGATAAATCAGGTTTTACAATAAGTTTATATTCAGGAATAAAAGACAGGAAAATACAAGTCCAGGAAAACCTTTTGATCTGTGATGCCATGCTGGGTTCAAGTCCTCACTCTGGACTTTTTTCTTTTCTATCTGATGCATTATGTATTGGTTGGTATCTTTGAAGGTTTCTAAACATATTGAGGCTGCATCTCTGCACGGAAAGAATGTTGGGATTGTGTGTCTCTCACCTGTGTACACATATCTACCCACGTGTGTGTGTGTGTGTGTGCCAGTGTGCCCAGGGTGGAGCAGGAAATTTAAGAGGTTCCATTAACCTGAGTCATTGTCAGATCACAGCAGGGTGGGGGCGCTGACTGTGCAGTTACATTGTGACTAGGTAGTTTTAAAATGTTTTACCACATCTTCTGTTTTTTTATCACAAGAGATGATACGGCATTTTGACTAGTTTTCTCTAATCATATCTGTTTCTCACAGTTGAAGGTCTGAAATAAATGCTCTTAATAATACTGTGTTCTAAGTAAAGAAGGGTAAAGAAGAAATTAAAAGCCAGCTATAATGTTTTATGAATTATAGCTGATAGAAGCATTTTGATCATTTCAATTTTAATGTTCTGACATTTTTCTATTTTAAAATTTGTTTTGTCTTGATGAAACTCCTTTTGAGAAACATTGTTTTTATACTGATTGTAAATCTAAAAGCCCAAGAGCCCCAAGGTAAGATTGTATATAAAATGCATGAAATGGAAGCCAAAAGCAAAAACTCAGCTTTGTCATGCTTGAATTAAAATAGCCTCAGGTCATGGCAAAAAGCTGCTGGTATATAAATCAGAGATTTAATTTAACGTCAGTGACTTTGTATGCAAAATATATATACCGTGTCTGTGGTGTGATTAAAAAAATGCTCCCACTGTTACTTCCACCTCCCTTATCCACACATGACTGCTGCAGTTTGGGATTGCTGTCTTAAATGTAATCTCTTGCTTTGTGTGCCTGTTTCTCTCTTTTAGAGCAGTGTTAGGACCCCTGTTGGCCCTCCCTCCTCCTGCTCAGTCTCTAATGGTGGTGGTGGACTCCCTAGATGTAGGATATGTACCGGGTGAAAGAGGTGAGAAGAGTGGCTCTATCGCAGAGCTCCTGGCCACCAATCAACACCTACTGCCTGGATGGCTGCTGCTGGTCTGCTCCGTCCGCCGCCACAACAAGGTTGTGTGCAAGATGTTCTCAGGTAAGGAGCTCTAACTTATCAGAATGATTTCAAAAGAGATTTTGTGAATTTGAACCTTTATGGGATTAGACATAAATATAAGCTACCCCAGGCTAAATTCTAATTTTGTGTACAAACAATAACTACATTTATATAACTACAACAAAAAGGATAATTGGTTCTAGCTTTTGTTAAAAACTGATACCTGAGTGTTCTGGTCATATGTTCCAAATTAAATTTATTAAGGAATTATAAATGAAGAGGTAAGGTGTTACCCCGTTTGGGACTAAGCAGTATGGGGCAGCATGGTGGCGCGGTGGTTAGCACTGTTGCTTCACAGCAAGAAGGTTGCAGGTTCGCGACCTTTCTGTGTGGAGTTTGCATGTTCTCCCCATGCTTGCACGGGTTCTCTCCGGCTTCCTCCCACTGTCCAAAGACATGCGGCTTAGGTTGACTGGTGACTCTAAATTGCCCATAGGAGTGAATGTGTGCGTGTGAGTGGTTGTTCGTCTGTGTGTTGGCCCTGCGATGGACTGGCAACCTGTCCAGGGTCTACTCCGCCTTTGCCTGATAGCTGGCTGGGATTGGCTCCCGCGACCCCCTGTGGGACTGAGCAGTAAAGAAGATGAATGGGTGAGGTGAGGTGTTGTTTTGTAGTACTGTACTGTAATCTGATGGCTGAATTATCCAGTACAGAATGTCTCCTCTCTTCTAGACAGGATAAAAATAAGAGAATTTAAACTAAGGGTTTCTCTATCATAAATGGTTTCATACATTTCAGGATAAATGGAATACTACTGTAGGTGTGTCTACAACAACACTAAAACATCATGCTATGTGAAAAATCTGTAAGAAAATACCACTACATGGTTGTCAGTAACGGTATAAAACAGATTAATGGATTAATGAATGGACATGTAATTACATCAGTAGAGTCTGATGATTTTGGCATTCTTTGGGCCATCCGTCTTCTTTCTGGATAAGGTTATTTAAATAAGTACCCATTGTATTATATGGTGATTATCAGTGGCAGACATGGACAGAAAAAACAAAATAACAATGTAGGACTGTCCGAGTCTTTGTTGGTCAAATATATAAAACTGTTTTGGATTTTAAAAACTCGCACCATCTCTTTTTGTTGTTGTTGGTGTAGGTTTTCGTAAGCTCTGTCTGGATGATCTGCGAAAGCCCCTGCCAGTGCGTGATGTGCAGCAGTACATCCTCTGCCGGCTGGATGAAGAAGCAGCACTTCGCCGTCAGCTCACCCCCAATACAGCTGACATGCTGAACCTGCTGCACATCAAGAGTGGTGGCTGCTTTCTCTTCCTCGAGCGAGTGCTGGATGGTGTGGCAGCTGCACTTGTGGGTCTGCGGGAGATCCGGGACATCCCTGGGACTCTCAATGGCCTTTACCTGTGGCTGTGCCAAAGACTGTTCCCCAGGGGGCTCTTTGTCTATGTCAAGCCTCTTCTCAATGTGCTCTTAGCTGCCTCGAGGCCACTCACGCCCCAGCAGCTGTTCACAGCAGCCTGGACTCATGACACCTCCTTCAGCCTCCAGGATTTTCAGAACAAGCTCCGAACCCTCTCTCCTCTCCTGATTGATGGTCCTGGGGGCACCAAACTACTTTTCCATGCCAGCTTTGCTGAGTGGCTGATAGATGTCAAATATTGCACACAGAGGTACTTGTGTAACAGAGCAGAGGGTCACAGCATGCTTGCCATGGCTCTGACGCTGCAGGGACCCCACCTAGACACTGAGGATGTTTGCCAGCTAGCCACACATTTAATTTTCTCAGGTCACCATAAGAATAACCCCTCATTTTTGGCACTGTGGATGCTGTGGGCAGGCGTGCCTGCTCTTACTCCCAGCTGCAGCCGTGGCCTCACCACATCCTTGACTCAGCCTCCGGTTCTAGTGAGTCAGGAAGTCCTTCAGCTGTTAATGAGGAGTGGGCTTATCTCTGCGGCCTGTTTTTCAGATGCAGACCCGAGTGTTGGAGTGCACTGTGTAGGTGATGAGGGAGTAAATTTGCAACAAGTATTTGAAAGTGAGCTATCCATGAAGAAGCTGCTAGACAGCGGGGTGTCTGTAAATCAGCTTGGTTCAACAGATGGACAGACCTTACTTGCCAGTGCAGCCCATGAGGGTTCTGCAAATGTAGTTGAACTTCTCCTGACACATGGATCTGATGCACTGATCAGTGATCATCTCGGTCAAACGCCACTGACTTTAGCTTCCAGGCAGGGTCATGTCAACATGTTGTCTGTGCTTTTGGAATGGGCGCAGAGCAAAGAGCCAGAAAAGGCAGTGCAGATGATGGAGCATGTCGACAATGAAGGCTGGACAGCACTGCGCTCTGCAGCTTGGGGAGGACACAGCGAGGCAGTACGGCTGCTGCTGGATGCAGGAGCAGATGTGGATGGATGTGACAGCGAGGGGCGAACTGCTCTCAGGGCTGCTGCGTGGGGGGGTCATGAGGAGATTGTTCTGACCCTGTTGGACTATGGGGCACAGGTTGACAAAGCTGACAGCAAGGGTCGCACACCGCTTATTGCTGCTGCCTATATGGGACATCATGAAGCTGTGGAGATATTGTTGGATCACAATGCAGAAGTTAACTTAGCTGATGGAGATGGGCGCACCGCTCTGTCAGTTGCTGCCCTCTGTGTACCTACAGCAGCAGGGGTCAAAGGTTATGGTGAGGTTGCAAGTCTGTTACTGGAGCGTGGAGCTGATCCAGGACACAGAGACAATGATGGCATGACGCCACTGCTTCTCGCAGCCTATGAGGGCAATGATGATGTAGTTGAACTTCTGTTAGAAGCTGGTGCTGATGTAGATGAAACTGCAGGTCTGGATGGCAGTGTTCCTGCTGCAGCTGCTGTTACTCCCCTTCTGGCAGCTGCAGCAATGGGCCACATGAAGACAGTATCACGGCTGCTTTTCTGGGGAGCAGCTGTGGATGCCATTGACTGTGAAGGAAGGACTGCACTCTGCCTGGCAGCAGCAAGAGGAAGCGTTGAAGTTGTTCGCACCCTGCTTGAACGAGGCCTGGATGAGAACCACAGAGATGACCTTGGCTGGACTCCAATGCATGCTGCTGCCTGTGAAGGCCATCGGGCTGTTTGTGCTGCTTTGACTGAGCAAGGAAGCATGGCACGTGTTGGAGAGATGGACATTGAAGGACGCACCCCTCTTATACTGGCTGCCCAGGAAGGTCACTGGACCACTGTCAAGTTATTGTTGGACAGACGTTCTCCCATTGATCACAGAGCATATGATGGACATTCTGCCTTAAGTGCTGCCATCCTGGAGGGCCACACTGAGGTTGCAGAGCTGCTTATGAAGCGAGGGGCTGATACCAATGTACGAGATGCAGAAGGAAGGCCTCTGCTCTACCTGCTGGTGTTGGAGGGTCGTCTTGATATGGCTACTCTCCTCATAGAGAAAGGAGGGGTCCCCCTGGAGTCCAAAGACTCTGAGGGCCGTACAGCTCTTCATGTGGCTTCTTGGCAGGGATGCGTGGAGATAGTAGACCTACTTTTAAAGCACGGGGCCAACCCCAATGCACAGGATACAGAGGGGAGACCACCACTTCATTCAGTGGCTTGGACAGGACATGCTGAAGTAGGACGTCGTCTCCTAGAAGCCAGCGGCATGGATATAGATCTTGCTTGCAACCAGGGAGCAACAGCACTAAGCATTGCTGCCCAGGAGGGACATGTCCATGTTGTTGCAATGCTTCTGGAAAGAGGTGCAAATCCCGATCACATGGATAAATATGGTCGTAGTCCAGTCAAAGTGGCTGGAAAACATGGGCACTTTAACATTGTCAGGCTTTTGGAAAGCTATGGACCCAAGCCATAC